ACGAAACGCTTCAGAAGAGGGAGCTCAAGATGAGAGATTACATGCAGGCAGCATCACCAACTGGTGTCCAGGGAGAGCTAAAGTATATAGCCGCCAATTCCTCCCTGACGCTGACATGGCCACGTGGCCTCAGAGGTACCGGGACTGGATCAAACACTTCATCGGGCTCGAGGGCGCCTCGCAGGCAAGTTCAACCAGTTCCTGGAGGCCGAGGGGCTGTAAACAAAGACAGGCAGAGACAAAGCCTCGAAGATAAAACAACTTATAGCACAATTGGAAGAGCACTATATCGACAAGATTACAAAGGTAGCGCAAATGTTGTACAAGCTCGTGCGCCGGCGTGTCAGGCGAATCGTTCACATAATAGCCGTGGCAAGTCTACCACTTGCCATCGCAAGCGACATCACTCTCTTAGTTAGGCTTGCAGCTTCTTATTGGCATGAGTCCCAGGGCCACCAGTCCACCAGCCCTACTAACAACTGACCTCACAACTCTATGCGTCACGGCGGGTGCAGCACCAGCAGCACAGTGAATTTAGTCCTCGCATTCGTATTTTGGCAGTGTCGGCGTTGTGCAGGTTAACCTGCACGTCAGTTTCGAACTTGCCTCCCTAGCGCAAGATGTCTTCACCAGTAATTCGCTACGCGCTGCTGCCAAGCATTCTTCTCAGCCTGTGCTGGGTCGGCCTCCTCGTGGGTCACGCTGCGCGTTGCCTTCCATATTCCTCAATCTGCTGACCATGATTTTTTTGTGTGGCGTTCTGTGATGTGGCCGGTAACGGTGAGACCAGTCACACGTACAGGGTCCCAGGGTTGCCTCGTAGCAGGCACAAGGGTCGGCAAATGACGCAATGCCCCTGATCGGTTCCAAGGCCGATGCCCATGCTAGACAAGCAATGAGTGTGGGGGAGAAAGAGACGCTAGGAGTACGAGTAAGGATAGCACTGCATCCCCTCCATCTCGTTGCCTCTCCCTCCACCTCCATCGTCCTCATTTGCTCATGCATCGTTCCACGACCAGCAAGGGAAGGAAAACGACCTTAGACAGATGAGTAAGAGGAGGCGGCGGGGGCCAGGAGCGGAGGAGGAGGAACGGGAGGAGCCAGAGGGGGAGGAGGGAGGAGGAGGAGGAGGGGGAAGGAGGAAGAGAAGGAGGGGGAGGAGGAGGACGGAGGAGGAGAAGGAGGAGGAGGAGGAGGAGGAAAGGGAGGAGGAGCAGAAGGAGGAGGCCGAAGGCGGAGGACGAGGAGAGGGAGGAGGAGCAGAAGGAGGAGGAGGAGGAGGAGGAGGAGGAGGAGGAGCAACAGCAGCAGCAGCAGCAGCAGGCGAGGGCAGCCGCCGCGCCGCGGAGGCGCAGCCTTTTGGCATGAAAGCGCGCGCGCGCGGGCGCCGCCCTGGCGTGCCTCCCGGTGCGCCCGGGGGCGGATCACGAGCAGGACCAGGGGTGCCATCAGTAGAGTTAGGTCGGGCATGTCCCCGTACAGGCGGATGTTGGAGGACGACAAAAAATAGACAACATAGATTGAACACATATTCAAAAATAGCAAAAGAATTAGTCCCCAGACTATTGTTTGACTGTTTTTGACTATCCTCCTGTAGAGGGACACGTCCGACTTGCCAGTAGAGGGCAGAACATCCACCCCCATAAGGATCACCCCCGCACGCGAAGCCGTTTCGTGAACGCACCCACGGAGGGAATCGAACGGGGCGGGGCCGCTCAGTGAACGCCCAGGGCCATTTGGCAAACGCCAGCCGTCGGCCCCGGGGCGGTTTTTTGTTCCTCCCTCGACTCGACTCCGAGGGGCGCGAGGAGCCCCCCCCCTTGCCGTCGCTCGGGCGTCCACTTCCTGTGCATTTGTCGGTTTCGTGCGTGTTTTGTTTTTTTTGGCTCGTTGGTCGAGGATGGTCCTCGATGGCCCTCGCCGAGAAAAAAAATGCACTCGCCCAAGCGATGCCAGGCCCCAAAGCAGGACCCGACGAGCGCCCTCGTGCGCTCCAAGGCGTTCTAATCGGCTCGACGTCGGCCTCTCTCGCGGGGCCGTCCTCCGGGGCCCCCCCCCCGAGTAGGGGGGGGGGCCCTCCGGCGGTGTGGCCCCGCGCGGCGGGGGGGGGCTCGGCCCCCAGGGGGGGCCCCGAGGGCCGCGCACGGGCGCAACCTTCACGTGTGTCGCCGGGTGTCCCTCGCGAGGGCGGCCGGGGAGAGGTGGCGGCGAGGGCGGCGGCGAGGAGAAGGGCCGCCGCGAGGGCGGCGACGACGGCGAGGGGGCAGGAGGGGAGCGCCCGCAAGCCAGCATAGGCGAGGAGGAGGAGCAGCGGCGGCGGCGCGGCGACGGCGAGGAAGCGGAAGAGAGGCCTGCCGGCAGACGGCGAGGAGGAGGAGGGCGAGGAGAGGGCGACGAGGAGGACAGGCAGAGGTCTGCCAGCTGGCAGGGAGGCGAGCTCACCACGCCAGGCCGTCCCTGATGCGCTCCCTCGAGGGGCACATGTTGGTGCACTTGTTGGTGAGGCTCTCCAGGTACTTGGCCTGATGGGTGGGGGGCCGATGCAGACCCCCTCGCGCCATGAAAGAAACGACGGGAAGGTCTTCTCCATGTTCGGCCTCCGGGGGGCCCGTGTGCCCTGTCTCGGGGCCGTCAACAAGAGCACTCGGGCTGGAAAGCTGGCCCCCGGGACGGTGTCCAGACCTCTCGGGGCCCACGCAATGAGAAACCGTGGCAGAACAATCACGATGTCGGGGCTCTGGGGGCAGGGGGGGATCGGCTCCGGTGGGTAGGGGGTATCAACCTGGCATCCCAGACCCCCGACGTCGTGATTTCTCACGGCGTCGACACCCAGAGGTCTGGACCCCTTCCCCAAGACCAGTGTTTCGTGCTGGATCCTTTTGTTGACGGTCCCGAGGCCGGGAGGCCGAATAAATAGCGAAACACCTCCCGCCGTGATTTTGCTCACAGCGCGAGGAGGTCTGGAATCGGCGATGCATCGCCGAGAGGTCGGCACGAGGGCCCCCGAGGGCCACTCCTGCCGCGCCTTCCTGGGCGGGGGGGCGCCGCCCGACCCCTGTCGCCGGCGAGGGCTGGGCGACTGCTGGGTGTCGAGGCGAGTTCCCCTCGAGCCTCGCACCAAGGGCTCTCAACTTTGCGCTTCGCGCTGCGCGAAGCGCGAAGTGCGAATAACTTCACGCTCTCGCGCCGCCTCCCAGGGGAGAAGAGGAGGACGAGGAAGAATCGGAGCCGAACCGCGAAGCGCGAATAACTTCGCGCCCTCGAGGGCGCCCCTGCTTCCCCCCGCCGCTGACCTCAGGTCGGGCAGGTGCTCCTGCAGGCGGATGTATGTTTGAACGAGGAGCCGAAACAGAACCAATCCTGGCCAGAGATGGTGGAACGCATCGTCCCCGTGCCCTTTGAAACCGGGCTCGAGCCGTCCTCCTGTCGAGGGGCGAGCCCGACTCGA